AGGATGGACAGGATTTCCGAGGCAAGCAGACATTGTATCGTCCTGTGAACAAATGGACAAAGTAAAGGTATTTCGGTAATCAAACTGTGAGTTTGCCTTAACATACATATTGTATTTTATACATAGATGTGCATATATGATATATTAGCTATTTCACATGGCATTTGGGTGTTGTCTGAAAATGACCAGGTGATAAAAATCTTTGCGTTGCACAAAGTGGTAAAACTCTGCCGTACAATACTACTTTTACAAAAAGAAGGGCTTTCAGAACAACATACCGTTGATGGTGACCACAGAAATATGCTTCCAAGGAGTAACTGTGACGTCATCAGAGCATTCACAGATTGACCTTGGAGTAGGAACAGGCAGTTGACATACTGCAATATAGAAAATAAGTTAGGAAGGGTGTATTTACAGTTTTTCCTTAATTCTCCAGATTATCAAGATATTCAATAACATTTGGCATAATTTCTACATATCTTGCAGCCCTAGTCAAAACCAATCATACTTTTTTCAATCAGCTATGTACACTTCCCATTCGCACTTGGGAACTACACTATAATGGGACATTGTAATGTAATGTTAATCTTTACATACTTTGTTCACAAAACTGAGGCTGGCCATTTTCATCCACCACCACAGCAGTTGTAGGGGGAATGGGCTCCAGAAATCCATTGAACACAGCCTCTCTGTCATGGAAGATATTCCTCTTGTGGGCTTCCATGTCACAGGTTGCACAGAGGAACTCCATGTCCAGTGGAACACAGTCCAGGCACCTAATAGCCGCTTCTTCTGCACAGCATCTGTGGCACTTCTGAATGGCTATTCTCTCAGCTGAGAGTTTTGCATTAAAAAGCATTGGCCTAGCCGTTTTCATTCTCACATCTGTGAGAAGCTGCCTTTGTGCCCAGGCAGAAACCGTTCCGTCTGTTGCCTCCGGAACCTGGACTGCAGTTAGGGTGTCCCTTAACTCTTGGAGATGTGTTTCTAAAAAATAAAACAGCTGTTAAGCCACCCTAAAATTGGTATGATGGATATTAAGGTAGTATACTGAACCACTTTTGAGTTGGAAAAATATATGCGGACTAATAATAGCAACATGCTATGAATCATTATATGCATCCAAAGCAATATTAGCAAGTGATACTTATACCAAATATGCATTCACTTGTCATGAAACAGTCAATACTCAATACTTTATTATGATTAACTAGATGAGTATAAAAATGGAAAAATTGGGAAAAACTGTAGTGCCAGTCAACTGCTGTTATAACCAATATACTCACCAAGACTACCAAACTCTTGATGTTCTAGCTGAAGGCCTTCCTCATGCACAGGATCGTCTCTTCTGGCTTGTGAAGCTGCAGAGACAGTCATTTTTGCTTAACCCTTCAATCAATCTAAAATTACACCAATTAATTGTAATATGAAAATGCTCTGTAAGGACTGCAGGTAATGAAACTAAGAACATATTACCACAGCATCACAATGACAATTTACATTTGCCATACTTTTATCCAAATCGAGGTACACATTTTCAAAAATACAACACAAGCAAGGATTATCAGTCACAGGCTCTTAAAATATCTTGATTTAATTTGAAAATGTTTTAAACATTGCAACAGATTTGTCAAGAGGTATCTTTAAATTACATAATTTCATACTGTGTACACCAAAATAACTTTGTTATGAATTAACTTTATTCTTAGACTTAGAAATCATGATATAGTAAAGAACAAACCTGATGCGGAACGTTGTGTTTCCCGTTGTCTCTCACGTCTGCGTGTGACCACTGGATTAGAAAGAGGTCTCTTCCTGCTTTTTCTTTTCTTTTCCGGAGGGATGGCAGGGGTTTCAGTGGCCATGGCAGCCTATATTTTTTCAGAGGTTGAGATCAACAACAAAGTTGTAATACAACATAAGACAGCAGCACTTATATTTTAGCAATTATTTAACGGTTGCATATAAAGGTCTAACTGACCCTTTATATTACATCAATAAAACGCAATAGCAATGATTATATTACAGACTTGGGTATTTGCTTATCATGAAAAGCCTCACCCTGGCCTCGTGGAGATGAGCCTCGCTAATCAATGCTGCCATGTGCATCGTGGCCTCATTGGGATCCTCAAAGACCCTCACTTCAGGGTTGAGGGACATGGCATACAAATAATACAAACAATACAGACACAATATACAAACAATACACAAAATGAAGAGAGTGAGAGAAAGACAGGAGAGTGAGAGTGATTGAAAGAGAAAGTGAGAGAGTGATAGAAAGAGAGACAGTGAGAGAGAGTGGCTCTTAAAAGTGCCGTTGGTTTTATATGTGTGTGTGTGTGGATATGTGTGTGTTGGTGATAGTAAGCGTTGTAATGAAGCTGTAAAACAGGAAAAATAAAAACATGATTAGGATTATTTAGAATAACAGTAACATCTGTGCAATACTCTATGCAATAATAATTCATCTGTGCAATACTCTATGCAATAATAATTCATCTGTGCAATACTCTATGTAATAATAATTCATCTGTGCATTACTCTATATGCAATAATAATTCATCTGTGCAATACTCTATGACATAGAGTATTGCACAGATGCACTCATGTAATAATAATTCATCTGTGCATTACTCTATATGCAATAATAATGAATCTGAGCAATACTCTGGCATACATTATGCACTTATACTGTGCATATTGTTATATTATGCACATATTTTGACATACTTGTTTTTCTTATATCTTCTACTATATATTTTAATTCTACAATGTAACAATCCCAATTTCCCCCGGAGATCAATGAAGTATTTCTGATTCAGAGTGGGACATTGGGTGGTCCCCACTGGCCAGTCAAATCCTCTGGAAAAACTCCAGTTCCACATTTTTGTTCCACCGATGCCCTTTAGCCACTATTACAACTCTGTGTTGAAGACTGTCTTTACAACACATGTGCAAATACATGCATTTAAACATATTTTTCTAGCAGGCACCTCCACTATCCAACTATGCCGGGACAGCTAATGTCATGTAGCTGTATAAACTATAAATGCTATCCAGCTAAAAACTTTGACCGGAAGGCCAAACGCGCAACGCGTAGCCTATTGTAAAAGCTAAACACACTACAAAACTCTACAAAACTCAACCTAATATCCAGGAATGAAACGCTATAGAGACTGTGCTACAGTGGAATAAATAAAAGCAATATTATTTCGTGTTTTAAAGAAATAAACTCCCCTTGATTTGAGATACTTACTGTAGTCCGTTGTCAGATGAAATTAATGAAAGTGAGGTGACTGTGGGTAACGTAACGTGGCTACGTCACGTTGCCGTCAAGCGCGACGTAACGTTGCCGTGGTAACGACGGAATCTTCTTCTGGTTTATTGTTGTTATAATAAAAATGATTATTATTGCTATTAAACAAAAAGCATTTAAAATACAGTCAGTAGCCATCATCATTCCGATGTGGGGAGAGTGGTTTTCACCATCATTATATATTTTTTTAAATGACTAATATTGGCCTACAATACCCCTTTATTGATCAAATAGGAATATAATTGTCTTTTAAATAACGTAAACTAAAGGGAACAATCTATTTGACACAGCTGAAGCTCTGGCCTTCCTTAAAAACTAACTCATTTAATAAAAATCACAGTTGTATTACACACAATGCATTGTTTTTTGAGAACACAAATTTGGTAAATAATGCACCATAATACATTCTGACGAAAAATAAAAATTATTATGAATACAAATAAAATAAAAGAAGCCTCCTGTGAGTTACTACAAGCTATAAAGTAGATTTTAAAAACGTTTTATAGACTAAAAAGCCCACTGCTGGACGTTGTGCACCACGACAAAGGAGCCTCATTCACTTTACATTGGCGTTGTTTGCGTGGTGCAGACATGTAAATGTAACAAAGTTCGTGACTCCACCACGCAATGCAGTGTTAAGCAGTCGTGGTGGAGTCACGCATTCTGGTGAGATCAGGTTGAAAAAATGTGTTACTTCACAGTTTTACGACACATTTTATTTTTTTTGACTTGCAAAATTATCTTTTAAATTGACAAACATCATATGTGTAATTCGTGGCACAATTCAAACGGGATCGAAAGATAATCGTTCTCTCTCCATTGACTTCAATGCATAACTTTTCCGAAATAAGGTCCCATGGGGCTCAACCGGAAGGGGAGGGACTTCGCCACTCTATTCTAGTGTTTACGTTTGAAGCTGTGTGGAAGGCAGTTACATACCGAGATATACAGTATAGTTGCCGTGACCACAGTTAGCGAACCAAGTTAACGCGAAAGAGTTCAATTTACCGTAAGTAGTGCTTCATTATAATATATCTAAATACAAAAATAATAATATATAAAGTTAAATACCTAAGATATCTTTGGTGTTATATTAAGTTAAATACTAAATCGGTTTGCTTTATGTATACTCTGTCAGATCAATTGTTTTTCAGCTACGGCTAACGGTAGGCGACTTATCGTTTATGATACTCAAAATATTCCTTTTTCTAATGTTATTACCTTCTCTGGAATCAGTGGTGTAAAGCAACAAAGTGGATTTATTCAAGTATTGTAGGCCTACTTAAAGGTACTTGTACTTTACTTGAGTATTTTAATTTGTTTGCTACTAAACTTCTACTCAACTAGTTGTTATTGTTTGAACTATGTAGCAACGGTAGGAACTGCTTGCGGACCTTTTTGATTACAGATTTGAAAACATCCGTTGCTTGCTTTAAAAGTAGCACTTCAAGTAGCAATTCATTATGTCAAACCTTGGAAAGTATCTAGATATCCCTGCCCTAATACTTTTCTTCTTTCGTATGAGTAACATTTTGATTGCAGGACTTTGACTTGTAACAGAGTATTCCTACACTGCCTTCCCTTGTCTGCCTAGAATTGCCTCAATAGCTCTGAATTGTTACCGTCCTAAGTATCTACTGTAAAAAATAACTATAATTATAATAATCTAATGCTTCTTTCAGACATGGATAAAATGTGGCAGAAGACAGTCCTAAATGAACAAGGTGGTTGAGAATAAGATCAGAGAGCATGTTAAATGTTGCAGTGGCATTAATTATGACTGGAAATGATTGCTGACTTCATATTGCAATTATCTTTCCTCCATTCTCAGAGACAGAGAGCGATGAAGAAGAGTACAATGAACTCAGGAGAAAAGACTATGAGGTAAATGACAGACGCAGCAAGACTTTTGACAAATACCAGAAGGCTAGACCCCATCTCCCCTGTTTTAGTCTCTCTTCACTGGCGACCTGTCTGTTTTACAATTTGTTTTAAGATTTCACTGATTACTTTTAAAGCTCTTAACGGGTTGGCTCCTGATTACCTCCCTGACTTGTTGTGCCCATATGAGCCTGTCCGCAGTCTCAGATCCTCTGGTAGGGCTCTGCTGGCTGTTACCAACACCAGGCTAAAAACAAAGAGTGGTCGAGCTCCGCAGCTCTGGAACTCCCTGCAGAATCAGTGACATCTTTTAAATCACTTCTTACAACTCATCTCTTCATTAAAGCCTTCAATGATGCCACTACTTGATTTTACTCAACATCCATGTTTTATTTGTTTTCCTTTGTTTTTTCCATTTGAGTATTGCTGCTATTGTTAAAACGCTGTATACTTGGTGGTGGGGATTGTATTATTATACCTGCTACACCTGCTGTTCTACTTCTCGCAGCAATGCTCTGTGTGAGAAGATTAGGGGGGGGGGGGGGGGGGGTAGATCAGAGGACGTCTCTGATTGCTGCCAGGGTTTAACTAAATGTTTCCATAGAGTGAAGCGAAGCTGTACTGTGCTGGTGTTCCTATGTGTTCAACATAATCTCAATTGAATGAAAATGATCAATTTAACATAACGTGTTAATTCTTCCCTGATGACCCCCTCCCTCTCATTAATGAGCTGCAACTCTCTTTTGCCCCTCATCCTTCCATCCACAGGAGTCTCTAAAGACCGGCAGGTCAAAGGCTAAGAAGTTGACGGAAGCCTGTCTTAAAAAGAGGGTACAAGTGAAACTGGTTGAATATGACTTTATAGAAGTGAATTACCTCTCTGAACAGTACCAGAAGAAGTTTGAGGAGACATCCGAGAATGCCAGAATATTGTGAGCAGCAGTGGATTCTCTGTCATTGTAACTTAAGACTGGATACAATATATTGATCTAATGTTGTAATCTTGTCTCCGTTATCAGTTCTGAAAGACAAGGCAAGGCCAAACAGGAGATGTATTCTACCAATGAGGAGTTAACCGATCAAATAAGGACTAATACAAGGTAGGCTTATGCTAACATTGTGAATTTAACATAAATACAGTATGTGTACATCTGCCCCACGCTGTATGTGAACAGTGGAGGAAGAAGTATTCCAACCCAGTCTCACGGCATTTCGTGTTATAGTCACAAAATTAATTTAATCTATTGATTCGTGTTCACCAACACAATTTTCGCATTTTTTTCGTGTCACACAGAACGATTTTAAAAGCAATGTATTTCTATTGGTAGTATGTTTCGTGCCTGCACCACGTCTTTTTGTCCGGTCGGGTCTTGGAATACCAGAAGCTGTGTGGTTCATAAAAACATGTTCTTACTCAATATCTTACCCTAAGCCTAACCCTATCCCTTTTTATTTTAAATTGTATAATGTCTGAGTTTTTTTTGCCGTCAGTGAGGAAAAGAAATGGCTCAGAGCCTCAGAATACTGAAATCTGTATTTTATGTCATCTTTTTTTCCTTCTAATTTGTTATTATTTGGTGCAGGCACGAAACACACTACCAATAGAAATACATTGCTTCTAAAATCGTTCTGTGTCAGAATACTGAAATCTGTAATTTTTTTTATTTAAATAATTTGACTCTTGTGACTTAAAGAGTAAGTCCACTAGATACCTTTTTAGAGATGCATTTTGTTAAAAGCAGCTAAAGCTTTTCAATAAATGTAGTGGAGTAAAAGTACAATATTTCCCTTTGAATTGTAGTGGGGTAGAAGTACAAAGTAGCAACAAATTGAAATACTCAAGTAAAGTACAAGTGTCGCAAAATGATTCTTTAGTACAGTACTTCAGTAACGTGACTTTTCACCTCTGCCCATGGTGTGTATGCAAACAGATATGAACCATTAGGTGCTTGGAAAAGGTTTTATAAATAAACACGAGCTGTTTCAGACATACTCATCTGCACTGAACATAGATCCAAACGTACTCTTTCTTCTTCATAGGGAGCCTCCCATGTTTGATGAGATCCGGCCTGAATATAACAGATACCTGAACATCCTGTTGAAGCGGCCGCCTTCAGAGTGGCAGGAGGCTCTGAGAACTACAGACCTCAGAGAGCCAGCGAGGGTGCAGGGTAAAGTGTTACAACTAAGTGAATCAACATCAGTTACAATATGAATAAGGTATTATTTAAGGTATACTTTTTTTAAATCCCCTGACTTTGGTTTGAAATCATCCCTGATCACAGGCTCGGAGAGAGGTCTGGACTCCAGTGCAGGTGGAGTGTCCCCCCCCCCCCCCCCCCCCCCCCCCCCCACACTGACACGCTGTAAGGACACATCAACGCTCACATCCACCACAATCACCGCTGCAAGTGTTGGTCTAACCCATATGCTGTGGTTCAGTGTTTCATTCTCAAAGATTTCAAAGGCTTTATTGTTATATACAGAGAAGCTACAGTGCAGATATGGAAAATATCTTAAGTGCCAAGCTCCTCCAACAATGCAACATAATATATACAGTGGAGGAAATAAGTATTTGATCCCCTTGCAGAACATGTGTCAGTACTTGGTGGAGAAACCCTTGTTGGACACACAGAGGTCAGACGCTTCACGGTTATATGCAAATACACATTCATCTTTTATATAATGTCAATTTCTGGATTTCTTTTGTATATTCTTACTCTCACTGTTAAAATAAACCTACCATTAAAATGATAGATTGTTCATTTCTCTGTAAGTGGGCAAACTTACAAAGTCTGCAAGGGATCAAATACTTATTTCCTATATAGAACACAAAACAAAAACCAAGTAAATGCACGAGACATATACATGTAAATAGAATAAGATAGACGAGTAAAGAAATTCAAATGAAATATTGTACAGTGAAATAAAATCAAATGTATTGTTTATTGTAGTGATATATAATCAAATAAATAAATGGTCAGATGCAGATGAATACTTTAGGTTATGAAGGCACTTCACAGGGCTCGGTGCATCTTCATCTGTCTCCAGCACAAACCCTGTCTTTGGCATTGCAGGGTCACGGATGGTAACGTGGATGGCGACAGCTCCCAATCTGAGGTCAGTTTTCCTGCTGCTCTACCTAATTGTGTCTTGAGTGTTTTGTGTGTGTCCCCCCCCCCTGCAGGATAAGCTGGAGCTCTCTCCCCACCAGATACTGGACCTGGTGACAGAGTTGACGGATCAGGTCTTGTCACTGACTCGCAATTCATACGGGGTGGATGAGCCGCCACTGAAGGAGCTCATGCAGGACATAGAGACCATTTCTAGGAAAATGTAAGCATGATTTATCCTGAGGTTAGTTTGACTCTAGAAAGGAATCTGCATTTTGTGGCGTTATCATTGAGCTCATATTTCAACATAATATCATAGAGAAAACACGACTGGTGTACATATGACATTGACATGTCATGTACACAGCTACAGTTGGGATACCTTTGTTATTATGTGTACTCTCATATTGGAAGAGGACATTCAGTATTTTCCCAACACTTTACCATGTTGTGTGAGACTGGCTGTCAAGGAACTTGTTTTAATAAATGTTCAAAAGAAAAACATGAAGTGCTAGATACTAAGCTGTGACCAGCATGTGACAATAAAGTGATGGATGTCTCTCTCCCCTGTGTGTGTGCAGGGAAGAGGATGATGAGAAACTTACGCTGCAGCTGGACGAGATGAAGGACAGGATCGTCAGCGACCTGGAGAGAGCCGCCACGCTCAAAAAGAAGGTTCAGCTCCACGACTCAAAGGACCACGTAAGGAAGCCCAGTGTACTGTACGTTAGATACAGCAGAGTAGAACTCTGAAGGATGCACTTTCATTTGATTTAACCTACAATTTAAAAAGGAAAACAAAAAAGCAAGAAATCATCTAAAGTGGTATCCTATCTCACCACAGCACACATTCCAGCAGACTCAGGGACAGTTTCACCCCACCGGCCATTAGACTGCTACCACTCTACAGTATACCATCAATCTGTTTGCATCTGAAATATTGATCTATTATTACAATAAACAGTATTTATTTCACTGTACAGAATGTAATATTACATTCTGTCTTTAGCTCATCTTATTTGATTTGACTTATAGTTAACTTCTCCTGCATTACTTGCACATTAGTCTTGCAACATTCTCTTGCACTATTTGATTTCTTCTCTGTTCCTTCCTGCACTACTTTTTATTGTTTTTGTTTCGTTTGTTTTATGTTGCATTGTTCGAGGAGCCTGTGACTTTAAGGTCGCCTATTATTCAAAGTCCACTTGTTCATGTCTTTTATACACACATGTGTCCCCTCTGTGTTAAGAGACACAGAACGTTTCAGGAACAAACAGTCGCTCTCTTTCTGTCCTGATCCATCCATATCAAAATGTAAAAATATGAAAAAAGACTTTGCAGAGGGGGTGTGGCCTGCAGCATCTCATTGAGATGTTTTCTATGTGTTTCTGTCTGTTCCCTACCTACAGGATACGATTGTCAGATGCTCTGGGTGTGAAGATAACTGAAGTGTATCGCTGCTGCGTGGACTCCCATCCGACCGACCTCAGCACCTTGGAGAAGCTGACCAGTGTTGAACAACCGTATATCTTTACTGTTCCAGTTCTTGGAGAGCATCCCTAAAGAGAACCTGAAGACACTGAGGCTGATCAAGGACAGCGTTAGGAGGGGCAGGTTCTGTGTTTATGAGCCTGGAGTTAAAGGTGGATCCCAGTATGTATGCTTTGAATGATGAGAGTGTATGAGGGGTCTGGGGCCTCATTTATAAAGGGATATACGCTCAAAAAATGGCGTACGCCAGTTTCTACGCAATGTTTGCGATTTTATAAAATACTAACTTGACGGAAAATGTGCGGTCCTCCACGCAACTCTAACCCATGCGTACGCAACTAAGCACGCAAACGGGAGAGACGAGAAATTGCAGACACCGTTGGCAGAAGGAGAATGGAGAGAAATATGTGGAAATAATACCATAAATAAAATGTTACCTCTCATTTATCAAATATGAAGAATTCATTTTCAAACATTGATTTAAAGCCAATCTTAAAATGATTAAAGAAACGCCTGTTTGAGACTCCTCAGTGCACACAAAACATAACTTGGAGAAATAAATAAATACAGATATGTTATTTAAAACCACCTCGAATATGTTGTGTTAATGTTATGAAATGTTTTCTCATAAATGATGCAGTAAGCAGGAGGACAGAATTACGTCTAAACTGACGCCGTTTTGCATTTCTATAGGTTGTAGATACGAGCATGGTTTTATATACTATCACGTTTAATCGTGTTTTATGCCGTTTGCCAAGACTTGATAAGTCGCTCGTAAAACACAGGAGGTATGGAAACTAAGAACACCATAGGCCTATGTGGTCAATTGTACAGCTAATATAACACAATCCATTAGTTGTATTTCCTTTAACTGGTGGATTATGGATATATAGTTGCTGATCGACAGCTGGAACACAAACCACCAAATACAACAAAATAATTCAGATCCAGTCGTCATGACTCCACTCCGGAGGGATTCCCCGATCATTTCTTACAGTTTCTCATCAAGGGGGTGTCTCCTGTCCCCGGGACAAACACACTGCCTGAGGAAGGTTATGTGTAATTCTTTTGTCATTAACTTTTTTCGGACCACTTATTTATTTATTTTGGTGACGATCCGACCTCCATGCTGCTACTCTGGTTCAAACTGCATCCACCAAACATTATGATTTATCTCGACCTCCCCACAATAACCAAAATCTGACACGGTGTGAGATGTCTTTTTTAGCTGTTCTGTCGTCATTTCCTGCGATCTTCTTCATGCAGTCAGTCAAAATGAATGAATGAATGGGCGTTTCTTTGACTATTTATAGGCAAATATGAAGGCCGTTTACGAGTCGATTGTGATTTATCAAGGGAACAGGCGTAGGGAGTGCCGTACGCACTTCCCTCGCCGGTACGCAATGTTTTGTGAATCGGAAGAATGGCGGAACATTTATGTACCTATTTTTGTGCTTTGTACTACGTAAGCAACCTTCCTACGTCCGCCAATCCTACGCAAGGCGTTATAAAATGAGGCCCCATGTCATATATTTCACCCAACATTGTACATAATCCTTTGTTTCCTTTTCTGAGTGTTTTACTATTTGCACTAGAGTATTCACATATGTTGTAAATGGAAATGATATGACATTAAACCTTTTCAAAGGGTGTGTTTGTATTCACTGCAGTTGATATGATTAGTGTAGTTGCCAGCAATGTGAACCTGGACATTTCTGACAATTGTCAGGTTCAAAAAATAGCAGTTTTAACCAGAAGGTGGCAATATGTGTACTCTCTGCTTGACAGGCTGGTTATTATCCCTACTGCAGACAATTTATCTTAAATATGCAGTCTGTCCTATCCAAATGATCCAGAGTCCCCTAAATCTTCTAAACCCACCCAAAAGTAATCAAATCAGCCCACAGAGAGTACAAAGATTGGCATTTTCTGGTTAAAACTGACATTTATGATCCTGAAAACGTCAGAAATGGACTCCTCAATAACCTCCAAACCACTCAGAAATGTTCCAAATCTGCCCATTTTTTAACTAGTGTCTGTACTAAAGTTAGCATCCGGCAGTTTGTATGTGCTGGGGACCCGTACTATACATTTCTAACAGAAAACGTTGTGGTACTCAATATTACGGGTTCACAATAGGACTCTATGATGTGGCAACTAGACTAATAACAGAAAGTGCAGAAAAAATGGGAAGTTTGCAAATGAGCTTTTTTTAGTGTCATATGTTGCAGGCCAGTCACTAAAGTAAAATGGTTTATTAACAACGTGTAGAGAGGTGCGGTTGTGTGATGAGCTCGTTAGGTTAAACCTTGTTCTCTTGTACTGCATCATGTTCCAGGCTGCGTGAGGAGCAGCTGAGACTGGAGAAGGAGAAGTGCAAGCAAAGATTAATGGATAGAAAGAAACAAGTGAGTCTTCTCTCCAAACAGGAATAATGCCATATTGGAAACATTATACCACACATTTTAATTTAATGCAATTAATCAGGATCATCCTCCACTAATAATAATAATAAGACTTTTCATACCCCAGGCGCAGCTCAAAGTGCTTTTTAAAAACAAGGCACACATCACAAGTCAAAGCAGAGAAGAGAATTCACATCAGGCCAGGACGCTAGAGCCTTTTAGCACATATGCCGCATAGCAACATGATATAATAGTTCAACACTTTAAGGGACACACGAGGTAAAAGGTATATTAATACAAAATAAATAATCATTTAATCAATATGATCCCTCGGTAAAATAAAGGAAGACAAAACCAATAAATACGATAAAATATAAAAACCTATAAAATTAATAAAACAATAAAAATAAATAAAATAATATAATACATGCATAAGTCTTGGCATCAGGTACAGTTTGGGAAAAATCTGCTTGAGTACATTACAGCAACAAAAAGTTAATGTTACTTTAAAAAATACATTTTGAACAGTTTGAACTTTATCCTTTTTTCTCCAGACTGGAAGACAGCTCAGGCCCAGGTGCTTCCCTGTTCAGAAGAAGATCCCAGTAAGTGAGGAGGACAACATACCTGCTGAGAAAGAACTCCATGCCTTCCTCTTCACCGAGAACGACGGTTAAAAAATAAATGCCACGAAAAGCCAAACATGTAGAAATATGTGTGTCCAAAAGGAATGGTACTGAAATATTGCCACAAACTACTTTTTTATTTGCACTAAAAAGTGACACTTTCAGTTTTAGCAATAAATGTATGCCAGTCTTCAGACTTCACCAGAAGTAAATGAGTCGACATAAAACATTCAAACCTATAAAAATGTTCCTGATAAAAACTGGAAATGACTGGAAAAGACTCAGGACAACAAAACGACATAGTTTTAGGCATAAACTACCTGTCTAATTGTAAATGTTCTTATATCAAACTTCCCAATAACTTAAGCAAAACAAATCATCAGCTGAATTTGATAAACAAGTTGGAAACTGATGAAGAGAGGAAGAATATCATTGTGTATGATACAAAACAAGACATGACGTCACGTCTCTAAACCCCAAAGCCTCTCCGGTGCAGAGTCCTCTCGCCGGGTGCGGTGGCGCGCGCCTGTAATCCCAGTTACCGGGAGGCTGAGGCTGGAGGAGCGTTTGAGCTCAGGAGCTCTGAGCTGCAGGGACTATGCCGAACGGGTGTCCGCACTAAGTTCGGTATCGATATGGTGCTCCTGGGGGAGCCCGGGACCACCAGGTCGTCTAAGGAGGGGGGCACCGGCCCAGGTCGGACACGGAGCAGGTCAAAACCCCCGTGCCGCTCAGTAGTGGGATCGCGCCTGTGAATTGACGCTGTAGTGAAGCCTGAGCAATACAGCGGGACCCTGTCTTTATACACTCTGAACACACACCTGGGACAACACACACACTCAACAACAATGTGTTTACATGTTACAGCCATGGATGTATAATAAGAACTGGATACAGCGTGGGAGGCGGGGCCTCATTCATTCCTATGAGAGTTGCTCATTCGCGCATGATGATAAAATGGCCCAACTTTTGATAGAGCGAAACGTCACAGATTACCCGGCATGCCTGAGAAGTACCCGTATGTGCGCTCATAGCGCATGCGCAACTTAACCATGCCCCCCAAAATGCTCGTTCACATCAAGCACGTCAATTTGCGTACACGTAACAGCACCGCACGTTCATGACAGCATGGTAATGGTTTTGTTATATGTAGATTTGATATTAACGAGGCGGGCAGTTAGCAGCTAGCGGTTAGCTAGTAATTATGCTAATTTACACATCAATCGTTATGTACTTTATATTACGCTTGTAACAGGATCTAGTGATATCCAAGCAACAGAGCTTCATTTAGCATGAAAGAATTATTGCACTGTATATATATATATTATATGTATTATATATATACAGTGCAATAAGCTTCTTAGTGCAATAAGAAGCTACAGTGACGTTAATCGACGTCGG